GCCGGGACGCTTTCGTTAATTGGCGCGATTGCTCTCAAGAAATGCTTTATTTTTTTCCGAGAAAATTCCTGACGGCAATAACGCGGAGCGCGATCGACGACCCCATAGTCGTTTGTTCCATATGGCCCTAATACTCGACACGACCCTCAACGGCTCAGACTTAGAGCTCGGCGTGGCTAACGACACCTCGAACGGAAATCAATGGATCTGCCTAATAAAGGCTTCGACGACCATTGGCGCGGTGCATACCTCCCCTCGCGGAGCCGTCTATTCCCTTCCTCGAGATGATGAGGCATCTTGACAGACTGCATCACGCAAGCAGGCAGGCGGGCAGTCAGTCAGCAAAGCAGGCGCAAAGACGAGTGGTCAAGCGGACGGGCATGCAAGCTAGCTAGCTAGCCTTTCTTGTCTTGGCTGCTTGCCCTGGCCCGGCATCCGATTCGACAGGCAATCCGATCAAAAGGACGGAGGAACTGACAGACTGATTTGCATCTCGCTATGGGGTCAGCCGTGCTAATAGATTACATCGTTAGCACCCCCATACAGAAACGCAGAGCGAACAAACGAACGAAAGGATGTTGGACAGTCACACGCAAGTTGTGTTTCGGCGCGCAAAGCACGGACAGGCGCGCGGACAGACCTCCCGACAGCCGAGCAAGGTGGAATACATAAGGCTTGATATATCTATGGCATCTATGGAAAACACGAGCATTTACATGATAATCTGATTATCATCCTCTCCCGGGCACACGAGACAGGCCATGTAGAGCGTGAGTGTTTCTATGTGTGTGTACGTAGCACTGACGAGGCGACCGCGACTATTCAGAGGACGCCTACAGCCTTTCTTCGCACGGGGAGGGTCTCGATCATCCGCGTACACGGTACGGTTTCACTGCATCGGCGATATCCTCTCGTGACCACCCAAGCTGAATCGGTGCATAGAAAGAAAAGGTCGGCGGCGCTCGGAGCACACAAACCCCGGTCGGTCGAATCAAGCCGCAAGGAGCGAGTAGTCTATACCTACACACTCGGCAGCCGGAAGATGTTCCATCAGCGCTAATGTTGTCGATGTAAACGCATTGCGATGTTCTTTTTATGCAAGTGACCGGCTCTCTGTGTCTATCGGTGAGCGGTGTCTGCATGTCCGCGTCTCCCTCGTAGTATGTAGGGTATTCGGATGTCCGCGTACGTAGACATGTGTGTGTCTTCCCTCCTGTCTCTTCTTCTTTCTCGATGTCAGCGGTATTTCTATTCTCGTGCTGATGGCCACGCTCTCGACCTCGTTGGCTCGCTCGTCCGTCCATAGTATCTACATTGATGAATAAGCCGAGCATTAATGAGCCGAGTATCGATACGGCGCCAGAGGTCTGCTTTCGAAGACCGATGTCTTCCTGTGGGTGGCCGCCGTCTCCTACGACGACGTCGTCGTCGTAGTGGTTGCCGTGGTCTTGCCCGTGTTGTCTTGGTGTGCTTGAAAAGCGAAGCATTTTCCCTACACGTTGCTGGAGGATTTCAGCTGGTTGCTGCCTCCTGCCCCTTCGGGCGTGGCTTCCTTTCTGCTCAGATTTATCCTAAGGAAAAGTTCTCCTACTCGCCCGCTCGATCCTCTCTCCCTGGTCCTAGTCATCGTCTTCGGAGTCCTATTGATTTTAGTTGGAGAGATGTCGATATCCGGCCCGTATTCTACGCTCGGTGTTCACGGTCGGTGCAACTTGTGCGGAGAAATCTTCTTATGATAAGCGCGTCGTTGCCCCCGCTTGGCCACTATTAACAACGCCTTATCAATGTACGAAATGGAGCCTTGTTCTGACCCGGCCTGCTCCTTTCCTCTTAGTATTTGCTCATAATATTTCTCAGATAAGTCTCGACTCCCCAATGATCCCCTTATGATGTTCAGCTTCAATGGATGCTTACACAAATGTAGCATCATCTCTACCGCCTATCCCCTCCCGCCCTCTGTCGTTTGCTTGCCCCTGCCGCTCCCGGCTCATGCTCGTCTCCTATGTTTCGGCCCTCGTCTCGGATGGTCGTTGGTTTCTTTTTTCATCTCTTCCTCGTTGGCCATATTTTCTTCTGCTGTGCGCGGAAGTTTTTTCCCCCGAACCGATGCGGGCGATTCTCTCGGCAATCGCGATCAGTTTTTTCGTGACCCCTGATCGCTCTGATCACACTTCTCGCTCGCTCGCTGTCGTCCGCGATTATCGCGAGCCTCAATTCCACGTCTTGTCGTGTCGCGACGAATGTATTTGACAGGTCTTCACACTCCAGCCTATTTATTTGATCCTCAGGTTGTTGCTTATCCGCGCTGTATTTACTGTCGCGCGGCATCTTTCGCTTCGCCGATGCAGATTTGCATCGAAACACTACAGCCCGCGCCACGGGTCCAGAACGCGGGCTCGAGCGCAGTGAAGTCATTTCACTGCGTCGATCAGAGGCCGGATCAAGCCTACGTTCCCGACCGAGCCGGAACCGAACACGAGGGGTGGTTTCCGCCAAGCAGGGCTTGAACCTCGGAGGCTCGCCCGGGAAGTCGGCTCCAGATCTCGATCTGGTGTTGTTCTGATACATATACGCCTAGACCTCTGATCCCAGCGACATCTGCACGGAAGACGAGTGCTCCGTGCATTGCATAAGCTGTTGCACGCAGCATCTCGATAAGACCCGCTGTCCGGAGCACATGCTCGTTGGCAGACAGACAGAAGGCAGCCGAGCAGACTAGCATAATGCAGCCCAACGTTCCACTGGATGACTGACTGCTCAATAGAGCTGCGGGGTCGTACATATCATATTAGAACGTAGGCGTAAGTTCTGTCCCGACCCCGAGAATCACGCTCCATGGGCGGCCGATACGGAGTTGAGCGCACGCGGGATCGGGAAAATCTTCGCTCGCGCCCCAAACGCAAACCTTGACTATGTGCTTACGCCTATGTCTCCGGTAGATTTGATCCGAGCGTCTTCGCTGGCCCGGATCGAAAACGCTTGGATCCAGCTCGAGTGATCGTTCGCCTGGTAAAGATAGCTATGATTTATGGGGGATCAACATCAAAACAGAGATATGCACATGTCTACGGTCACCCCACGGGGATTGAAGAGGTCTTTAGCTCTGACTGAAAATACACACACTCACTCCCGTGGATCACGATGAGACATTGATCGCTAGATGCCCGGCGCTTATTGGTCTCCCATCGTCGGAGTCGACGATGCAAAGCTCGCCCCTCTGCACAGAATGGAGGCAAGTGCTCAGACTTGGCTTCGACAGCCTCTTGTCCCTCGCTTATGCCGGGAGGTCTCCGTGAAGGTCGAAGCGCAGAGAAAAAATTCCACAGCCGAATCGGTGGAAAGCCTCGACTGATTGCTTACGTGCTATTATTGCGAACCCGAAGCCCAGGGAACAAGTCGAGCGAGCGTTCCATATTTATAACATTGTACCACCGAAAAGCGTACCAACCTCGAGAGAATTCTAAAGGGAGCGGCCATACAAGCGAGTCGGAGGAGAATCCGACGGGTAGGGCAGCGGGGCAGGTACAAAAGCAAAGTTGTTCTACGCTTGTGCCGAACGGAACTCGGTATTAAATAAAATAATAATCTGCTTTTCGATTGTCCATTGAAAACGTGTCCAAGCTCCGCGTCCGTGCCACGTCCTGTTCCAATTCAATTATTAGATGCTTCCGAAGCAGAACAATGTGTTTCAAAGTTGCCGCTAGAATCCGAACTCGGCCATCGAAAGCCCACGTTGCCGATTTGCCTCACCAATGACTATCTGACCAGCTGACTGAATAAATCATAAACTTAGCGAAAAGAGAACTCCGAATCGGCCGCGTCGCTTTTCCCTTCGTATAATTCGATGGACGTAATCGAGCTGAAGACAGAAAGATTCCTCGCAAACCTATATCAGAACGTATCCGGATCCGGTTATTCTCTCTGATATCCTCCCGAATATTTTAGCTTCTCGTGACTATCCGACGCGGCTCCTCCAATATCGTTGCGATGGAGGAGCCGAGGAGAGAAAAGATGCTTATTCCGAGCAAATCCATCGGGTCCGATCCACGCGCGCCCAACTCGAGAAGAAAGACGGGACTCTCGTATGAAAATGTTTGAGCTCTCGAGGGTGGCCAAAATGTAAAAAATCGACGACAGCTTTGGCCACGTCGCCTCGTAGGGATCTTGGTGGTAGTGGTTGCCGGCTTGGTGGTGCTCTGGAACAGCTGTGTGAATAGCAATTTAAGGGATATGGCTATCCGCCGGATATACGAGCAAGACATTGCCCAGTCGTCAGTCGACCGAAAGATACAGTCAGTTTGCGTTCTTCATAAACACCACGTGTTGCAGCTAGCTCGGACTTGGGGAGGATCCCCCGGCATATCTCCTAATCATAGCCGAATACACTAAAGCAAACCTGCACCCGTGAATGAAGGATCAATTTCGCGCCCTGATGAGATAGATTCTAAAACTTCGAGAAGAACCGATATCGCATGAATTCTCGCCGCAAATTCGGACTCAAGCTCGGAATTGTCGAAATGTATCCGCCTCGAAATCTCTTAGAGCGCAATGGGCTTGCCGCCGCGATGCTCTCCGGGTGGCAGACAGGCGTAAGGCAAGCAGACAAACTGGCTGGTGGGCTCGAGCTTTAAATATGGTGCTTGCATCGCATCGCATCCGCTCGTTCCCTTGGAGGTTTCGTTCAAATGGCCTTAACGGCAAATGTGCCCTGTGGGAAGGGAATATGCATCATGAAGACAGATGCTGCCAGCTTCCCCATACGGCTTGCATGGGGCCCGTGGGATCGAGGTGCATCTTTCACAGTTCGCGGGGTCAAGCCCGCCGTCGTTCGCTCCTATTCAGAGGAGACGATCTAGGGGAGCCCAAGAACACATGGATGTGGGTGCGCGAAAAAAGCTGGGAAACTCTTCCAGCGGCATTCTTTGCGCAGCGGATTTGTCTCCCAATGAGCCAGATCGCGTAAGCTAGCTGATCCTAATCGATTCCATTCTTACTCGCAGGACCATACCATCACCACCCATGCTGCTATCAACGAACCCTACACCCTCGCCGTCGTCGATGCCATCCCCGATGCCTTCACCAATGTCCTCTCCGGTAGTGAGTACCTCGGGAGGACATCCTTGCCAAGGCTCTGGTCAGCAAGGTCATGGCTCGAATCCGCCTACGGCCCCTTCAACGCCAACTCCACAGGAGTCGTTTCATGCGCCCTCGATTCTCCAACTCATGAAGAGCATGCATGTGGAAAGTCAGACAAATCTTGCCATACAGATCAAAGGTGAGAGGCGAGAGGTCTTCGGAACAGAATGAGCGGCGGCGATCGGATCGATCACGAGTCCGGTTCGGACCCCTGTGGAATTTCCTCCCGATGTGATTGCGTTCCCAGTGTCTCTAAAAGTTTCTTTTCATTCTCGCTCAGGTGTGTTGCCGGACGGGAGCAACATGAAGCAATTCGTACTGTTTCGCTGTGGGATTTGCAACCGTACGAAAGCTTCTCTGGAGAGACTCCTCGGTCATCTGATATGGTTCCATTTTGCCGATAACCGTAAAAAGCACTGCAACAAATGCGGAGCGCTCTTCCGACTCAAAGATCAGCTCGACAACCACATGAAATTGCATCAACTCGCTAAAGGTGAGCCGAACAATTCCGATCAACTTCTTCGGAAGGCTTCGCCCCCAACGCCGACCAGGGAGCGGATACCTCCTCCAGATAATGGAACAGAAACCGAATGACACTGTTGCGTGACGATCTACCGCCAGATCCTAAGACGAATAATAATTCATTCAGAGATCGAATCAATGATGATCTCCGCCAGGAGAATGATATCGAAGATTGGAATCTCGAAGTCAAAGAGATTCGGATCGCTGGCCGCAGTAGAAGTTGCAGACAACGCTCTTGTCCCTGCGAAGCCGAGAGTGAAAGTCTTCCGGTAGGGGAAAGCAAGGCCAAGCGAGCACGGTGGCGGTCGAGCGAAATATCATGGGACGACAATCTGAACCTCATCCGTCCGGGGAGTGGCCATCTAGCTTTGGTGATAGTGGTGGTCCTCGTCGTCGTCGTCGTTGTTGTCGTCGTCTGGGCTTAAATTTCTCGAGCATTTCGCTTGAGGCGGCCATTCCCGAACTGTTAGCCGACTGCTGCGCATAACTGGCCTCATGAGTCAGCGAGCTGCTCACGGTTAGCGCTGGTTAGTCCCCGTAGGCAACCTCATATTTCACTTCGACCATAGGAGCTTTAAACCGCGTTGCTCCTGCTTCTCCCAGACAGTCCGATCGAGCGAACGAGGCACGATGGACGGACGGACGGACTCACCGACCGACCAGGAGACCCAGTCCTTCTTCGCATATATAGGGACGCTCGTCCGCTCGCTCGGAGCGCTGAGGGACAACGGTGGAGAGTCGCACACTTCTTCTTGTTAACCATGGGGAGAGGCAGTATAAGAAATTCAAAGAAGTCCTTTTTTGCCTTCTTCTTTTTCGTCTCTTTTTTTTTCATTCGTCCGTCCGTTCGTTCGAGTGCCGCTATGGTTAGATTCGAAGAGGGCTTTTGAAGTTATTGCAAATTCCAGTAGCTTCGCCTAAAGCTGCTCGAGCTCCAACACTGGCTATAGATAGCTAGATAGATGGATATGTGAGCCGGTCGGTCGGTCGTTCGCTCACTCGCTCCCTTGCACGGCGAGCGAGTGCATATCGATACGCGCTACAGCGGTCTCGCGTAGAACGGGAGAATACCAACGAGAAGAAATATCGCTCCACCCTCAAAATGCAGCGGCGGGGCCGGACAGTTGGGCGAGCGAACGCGCGAATTCGAATTCACTTTCGCTTTGTTTTCGCGCCATCGGCAAAATACATAAAGGTGATGTTCGTCATCGGGTCTTGTTGCTTTTCCGAGCCGCCTCTACTCGTTTTTAGCCCCCCAATTCCCGATCTCCCGCCAACCTTCTCCCCCTCCGCAGCTCCGTGCCCGTCACCCCGCCCCTCTCTCGGTTTCCCTCTGCCGCTCGGAGTCGCACTCCCTACTCGGTGGTCACTGGCTGTCAACTGTCGTTGGATGTGCTGTTCGAAGAGCGTCCGTTCGTTCTACAGTCGTCGGTGTCGTTGTTGCTGACCGGCTGGCTGGCTGGCTGGCTGTTGTCCGGTTTGATGTCGCCGCACTGCTGCATAAGACTCGCTTTTTTCCCAATACGAATAGTAGTTGTGAGATGGCTGTCCTTTTATGAAAACATCCACCGGTCAGTCGGATGTCAGTCAAGTCGCTCGCTGAGTGACAACTAGCTACGATTTTGCATTTGAAGGATCTCCTTACACTCTGCATAGCCTCATTGACTGGCCGACTGTCTGACTGGCTGGCGGGCTGGCGGGCTGGCTGGTCGACCGAACGAACAAGCGACTGGATGGACGCTCAGCTGTGTCGCGGCCCTTCTCGACTATTTGCGATTGGTCAGGGATGTCCGCTTGCATTCTGAGGGTTTTAGCATCCAGTCGGCGAGGCGAACGGTAGCAGAAACGAGCGAAAAGAACGAACGAATTTGCAGCCCGCCAGCCCGCGCGCTGCCCGGCGGCCAGCCAGTCGAGCAAAAGCTCAGTGTTCCTCCTCGCTCCCCTACCCACCTTGAAACTCTCTTTGAGCTTTGAAGGAACGGACCGGCCTCCTCGTCGTGTGCAAAACAAATAAGCCCATTTCATCGTTGCCAGTTTGCTTGGCAACTTTTCAAGCGGGAGAAAATTCGAGCCAATTCGATTCCAACGCGCAGAAGATTTGTCATATTCAATATATATGCAATGCGGACCGACCAACCGACCGGCCAGCCGGCCGACCAGCCCGTTTTCTCGCCCACCCGTTTGCCCGCCCCGACGGAAGCTGACGGGGCGGTCAAGCTTTCAACATCCTCTACAAAGAGCGAAACAGACTCCTCGAGAATATGAGAAAAATATCTATACTGTCCACGAAGAGCACCGATTGCATGCCCTTCATGATTCAGAAAGATGGTCGTGATGTTCCTTCCTTTCTCAAACAACGCCCCATTTGACTCCTTGGAAAAACTTTGAAATTGAAATTCTCCCGATCTTTTACAGAAAATGCAAATAATCACGATGGACAGAAGCATCATAGGGAGACTCGCACGGAGTTGACGGAGGATTTCGAGGATCGTCGATCATCCATCAAACGTGAACCCGAAGATTCAAATCTCCACGCGAACTCGAACAACAACCAGATTTTACCGCAGAATATGGGCACCACGCCTACACATCATGCGCCTGCGGAGGAGCTTAAGAAAAAGGGTGAGACGAGCATGATCTGCCCCTTGTGGGGAATCGGCTCCTCAACGGAACCGATGAAACGATAGCTCATAACAAGCTTCCTTGCCTCGAGCATCGATTGAGGCGAAAAATTTGAAAGATGGAAACTGACTTCCATGATTTGATGATAGGTCCTCCTTTCCAGTGATTTCGAGCGCAGCTGACTCTGACTGATGCTTTTTCTTTGCAGTTTCGTCAGCGACGGACGGTAGTTTGCCGTTCCACTGCAATTTTTGCGACAAGTCGTTCGATAGGCTGTTTTCGCTACAACGCCATGAGAGGATCCATACAGGAGTGAAACCGTGTTATTGCAAAGTGTGCGGAAGAGGCTTTAGTGAAAGACGCAACCTGCGACACCACATGATTCGCTTCCACGCCGACGACGAGATCAAGGAGCAGTTCAAAGACGAACTGCGTGGTTTCGACGTGCGAAAGCTGGGAGCTCTGCAAGCCGAGGACGATTTAGAAATGGAAGAGGAAGCCGACGCAGATCGAGATTCCCTCGATCGGGAGGCTTCGGTCGACAGACTGGACCGCGGTTTCACGTCGAGTCCCGAACAGCCCCCTTCGACAGCAGGGAGCGATGATCTGAAGTCGGCCGTTTCTCTCCGATCCGAAGTTCCACCGGGAGCAATGGAACTCGTTCAGAGATTGTCCCAGAGCCCTCCAAGCCCTTCCGCCCAAGCGGCTTTCGCAAAGGCAAGTTCCTTCTTGGCGCTGATGGCGCAGCAGAATCAACTACAAAACGTTCAACAGATTCAAAACAGTTTAGCCGCTTTCGCTCCTCCATCGTCGAAGCGACGAAAAGGTATTCCAACCAAATACACTGACGGCCCAGGGGGTCTGGACGAAACTGGAGCGCTTCATGGTCTTCCGCCGCCGACCGAGGGTTTGTTCGACCTGTCGGCGCAGGGTCAGGCCCAGACATTGAACAACAATTCCGCAACTCCAGAGGAGACGAAACTGCCATCAATGCCGACCGACCTCAGCGTCGGTAGCGAGCACTAGAGCGCAATGAGTCTTGTACTACAAACAACAGATGTCTCGCAATCCAGGATTGGAGAATTTCCTACTATGAAGAAGAAGAACCAATATTTTGATCCTCAGCTGACTGAGAACATCGGATAACTACAGCTACAACATGAAGTATGGCTATTGAAAATGCCCAGAACTACACTCACGGTTCTCCAGCACCGAATTTGCCTCCCCTTGCCCTCTCCCCGATTTCCATGATGTTCCAATCATCCTCCAATCATTCCATTCCCCCCCTTATCTTCCTCCCTCAGCTGTCCTATCCTTGCCATCTCACTGAACTTATCAACCTAGAGCTGAATTATGGGACGAAGAGAAACGAGTCTGAAGACGAGCAACCAACCGTGGGTGTTGGATCAGTGTACAGAGAAATACATCGGCAACAGCGGAGAATATACAGCCATCATCCATGGGACGTAGCGAATATCTTCTATTCTACTACTAGGTAGTAGTAGGTGGACTGGTGCTGCTCAGGCCGTACAGAGACAGGTGGTCTCGATGCATGCGCGGACCTCAGCTTCACCGAACAGTCGACCTATGAAAAACTTTCTTCTGACCCCGCTCGAGCCGCGATGACCGCTGCAGCACATTGTGGAGTCATCTCGGAGGAGACCGGGGTTCCGATGATCAATGCAAAACAGTAAAAAAAATCTACTCATTTCAACTCAAATCCAGAATCAACGAGGTGTCTGGAGGGCCGATCCGAAGGGGCTCTTGTTGACTGCGTGCAATTTTTAGAAATGACCCCATCCTAATGATATATCTTGAAGGAATGGAAGAAACTCGCGATGACAAGAAGAAATGAGTACTGAGAAGACGGTGAAGACGACGAATATAACGGAAAAATGACGAAACCCATGTATGATCATAGAAATGTGTTGAATGTTCCCTTGCGTTTGCTAGGTTGGGTCTTTCTCCTTTTTGTGTATGTCGGAAAACATTTCTTCTTGTCGTGTTGCCTATTGTTCATAATATAATGATGATGATATTAATTATGAGAATTTCGACGAAAACGATTGTACGAACTCTGAGGATGATTACCATGATCATGACGAGTAAGCTGACGATAATGATAATAATGATTATAACAATAATGATCGAGGTGGCGACGATCGATTGTAACGATGATAGCAACAGAAACCATTTAAAGTATGACAAGAAGGTGACCGCGAGGATGAGCGAACATATTGAGTGATTGTATTGTGGAATTAATTAATCGCGTCATAGAAATAGTCGGAGGTGGTTCGGAGGCGATCTGGCGCTCTGGTTCGACGCAGAAGATCGAACTGGGATGTCTTGAGGGCGATAAACGCTGCCTCCGCCTAAAACAGAATCCTCAGGCGACTCGAGGACCGGACCAACGGCTCAAGAACGTGTCACGCGGGCAATACGGTCCGCCTCGAGCACACTGGGTGCTAGGTAATTAAGCAGGAAACGCGAAACAGTGCCAATCGTAAATAGACCGTGTGGCGCACCCCAAACATCCGTGCACTAATCTACGTACACCAAACCACTAACTGGACGTCTGCTGTACGCGGAGTCGCCACTCTGCGTGCGCGAGCCACCATTTCCATTGAAATTCTTCTACGGGTAACTTTGTCACGTCAATCGCGCACGGCAACGCCGAGCGGCCGACATGTCGATATAAATCTTCGCTTTGGGACGATAGCGAGCAAATACCGGTGTGCATGCGTGTGCGTTTGTTGGAGCGTAAATTTTGTCTGGAACACAAAGCGAACAATGCAATATATGATGAACTTGATGATAAGGATGACTATGATCGAGATGATTCTACACTGATATGATACGCCAGAACACAAGAGACACAACAAAGCCTGCTTCCTGCAGGCCGAGCGGACACAAACTTCTCCACTCAAACAGAGAAAGAGAAATACCCGATTACATACTGCAACACAATCGAAATCGTAAAGTTTGATTGCGATTGCCGACACCCGACCCGATCCCGGGTGGGCTCCCCACACCGAACACGGCTACCATAATTTGAGCAGGACACAACTGGATCGAGGCTGTTCTGAGGACACGAATGCTAGAACAAGGGACAGTTCCCTCGGAATCGCCGAGGAATTCGCGTTTCGCGTCACATCAGAGCAAGAGGTTCCGGCAACACGATACAACGCAAAACGACGGACACACATAGATACGATGAAAAACGGGTTCAACGTCATTTACAGAAAGGCCACTCCACGGATGTTCCACCAGTTCAATCGCGGGAACGGCTCCGAATGAGGCTCGTTCGAGATATGAGCTCGGATGTACACGCCGAATCGAGCCAATTCCAAAGGAACGACGGAAGAATATTCATCAGCGATGCGGGAAATTTGAATTAATTGAAACACCTGAGCGTTATGATACCGCTTACGCGGGGACTCCCAATCGATGCCGAAGGAGGCCTATGATGTACGATGACGAGTGATTATATTTATAATATAATGGAAGTAATGAAACAAAATCAATAAAACTGTAGTAATAACAACAAACTGGACCGAAGTCTCCTGCCTCATAAATATCGGACCCGACGGCTTCGGGTATTCTCTGAGCAGGATCAAGACCACTCTTCTGACCCGATCAGAGCCTAATTGGATCCTGGGCCATCGAGAGCGAAGATCTCGAATGAATGTCATCCAGCTTCTATCCGAATTCCTTGCCGATCCTCCTCTCTCGAAGATCAACCATGGGAACATTCACGGGAGATGTTTCGCGAGTCTCGAGCTGTCACGAGGTGCTGTGGGTGTATGCATTCAACGAGTCCTCGATATTGGGTTGATGCAAGCTCAGGATCGAATTCCAAGGCGCTTGGGGTTGAACTCATATTCGATGAGCAAAGACGAAGACGGTCTAATTTTTCCAACACATAATTTTTTATAACAAGGTTCTCTGCGATCGACTTCCGAGGGAGCTGCTGGCATCCCCGGAGGGCAGAAGGTCATCAGGACAAGACGGCATTTGTTATCCTTGAGTAGCAGTGTGTATGCGTGGCAATGCCAACGGGAACGGGTCTGAAAGACGCGCCGAAGAGCTTCGCGCGGGGCTCGAGCATGAATCTGGATAAGCTGAAGCGAATGCTGCGGGGAAAAGTTCGGAGCAGAGCGACACGGGATTTAGTCCGTCCTAGTAGCTTCTCGGTCGGAAACTACGCGATGCGGTATCACTGCTCAGTGAGGAAGATCGCCACCCCCTTCGTTATCGCGTCATGTCATGACGATATGATAACTGATGATAGACGCGCCTTATCAGATGTCTACCGGATGGGGAAAATCACGCTGAAATTTCGTCATTATCATACTTTTTCGCTCTAGCCATCCTGTTTCTCAGAAACGGGCAGAAACGTGAATTTTCCGTGGCGATATCCGTCGTCAATTGTTCCTCAGTCTTTGTACCTTCGCGAGTATAAGCCTTCATTCACGCCGAGGCTCCCCGGCAGACCGGAGGAGTCTGGTTAGGTGCTCGATTGAGAGCAGCTCCGGAGACTCCCTTGGCCAGGAGTGCGTGACATACCTTCCCGGTCCATCCACCGAGAGAGTGGACAAATCGGATTCAACGTGAGGTACGTGATATTTGAGACCATCCTCGAACCAAACCAGGCGTCGCGTGCCGGGAAACGCTGACATCAGAGCAGAGAATCGTAGACACTCGTCTCATTCTGTGTAGAACACCTGAGGATCTGCATCACTAGTTTGGCCTTTGATCAGCACTGGGTAGCGCTGCCCCTCCTCTCGCATCGTAAAAACTGTAAATATCTCGGAGGAGAAATACCCTTTTACTTTCGCAGAGCATGGGAGAGGACGCCCTAGACATCGGAAACGGCCCGATTCCGGCGGACGGGTCGGACTGCTCCACAGCGAGTTCCACTGCTCTGAGACGCTCAAGTACCACGGTGGTAGCGACCCGTACCACAGTCGATCGGGGATGGGATAATATGGCGGTGTCTATGAGCTTATAGAGAGCCGCGAGAATCAGGAGTGCGAGTTGGAGCGAGTCCACGATTCCTCCGATGCTTTGCTGAGTACACCGACTTCTTCACTGAAGATCAGGGACACTGCACTTCGCCCCAAGATGACAGGTGAGCTTCTCGAAATACGCCAAAGCCACAGCTGATCCGGAAATCGGCTCTGGAGAGTGTCCCCGAACCTCAGAGAGCCCCCTGTGGATGACCGTGGAGAGTTCTCTCCGCGGTGCGCAACAGCTTCGAATGGAAACTCGGCCGAATCTCTTCCCTCAGCCGTGGAGCGCGACTGAAGAGTCGGATTAGCCGAATTCGCGGTGTTTCGGATCAGCTGGATCTCCCGATGAGCGTAACCCACTTAACCCGAACTCGTATTCGGGGGTACCGTTGCGAAGGTCTTACTTCCATATATTCAAGGGGCGCTAAAACTGGGACAGCATTAGGATCACAAAGTTTTGACGCGGCGAGCTGCAATTTCTTCATTCAGTGGAAATGCGTGGGTTCGCGCAGCGGACCATTCTGAGCGCCAGACCGCGGGGCGAGATCAGCCCAGGAGCACGATGTGACCCTGCATGACGGAACGCTTTTTTTTCCGAAAGAACTGCCGTTCTCGGTAAATACTCGATCCCCCGGACTGCGGAAACGTGATTCGGGTTTTGATTACTCGCTCCCCCCTTGCGATTTGTCGGAACAGCAAGACTCGCTGCATCGAAGCCTCCGTTGAGATCGAATAGTGGATCCTCCTGATCCCTTCCTTCCGCTTGCGATTTGCTCACGACTCGCGACCAGTATTGTCCTTCTATGGTGAGTCAGATCGACCTGATATCTGGCCGCTTCAGCAACTCCGGCTTGCGAGCTCGAACACTTCACAGGTCGCTCCTCATTCCCTTTGTTCGGTCATCGCGCGGACTAGCCCTTTTCGCCGGCGCGGTAACGAGACGGGCTCGGTGACGCAAGAAGACGATTAGGCGACGGGCCCACTAGTTTCCTTGGAAGGGCTCCGAGTAATTGAATGAATACACACGACACGCATACGCACACGGACGCCCGATCCCTGTTTCTCCAACTTCCCAGAGGATGCGCGAAAATGCAGGCGATAAGATTGCTCTGAGGTAAATGCTCGGGTGACCGACGTCTCGCGCGATATGTCGCATTCTTCTCGTGAGTTTCGAGGTCATCTCAACCGAACTCGGTTCGCCTTCGGAAATCGAGAACACTAGGAACACTAGGAGATCCGAACTACACATGACATCCAATTTCTACACCTGCGGATGTATGCATCCGGCTACCGTGAATCCGTGGAGTCCGCGTAGTAAAAGAAACTCAAGTATCAAGGAAAGGGCTGGAGCGATGGAATCACCGACGCCGCTAGCAAGCGCGGGAGTCATCAAGCACGTCACCCGTATTCTCGACGAATCGACTGTACCCACGTGTATGAACGAGCGACGATTGTGTTTCCCCATGCATATATTCATTCTTGGACAATGATGGGCCAGAGCAGGAATGCAGAAGCCACATTGTCGACACTGGTGCTTCCGCGGCGCTTGCGGTACATCACACTTCGGACAGAAGCTTATTCTGCCGCCGTCGATCAGAAAATCCAAGCGTGGACGGTCGTGCCTCATCAAGAGACGGTACATTTTTACAATGTTCGGCGGCAGACTCTTGATCAAGCCGAATCCCTGGCTAAGCCACGAAGTGAGACTGCAGTCACCAATTGGGATTTTCGACATCCCTAGCGTACCCATTGCGACCTCCGATTTCGTGAGGATTGCGTGAGGAGATGAGAATCAGCCGCGTTGTTTGAAAATATTCATTTGCCACGGCTTCGGTAGTATTCGAACAGCAGAGTCTAGGCAGCCGTCGTGACTTTGTATGGAAGAGAGAAGAACGAATTCATTACGCGCCCCCTCATTTCGGTCTTCTGCGGATTCTCTATTGTGGGGATTCGGTGGAATTCAGTCTCGATTGACCCGCCAGCTCTTGGGATACGCTCGACGAGGAAAAGTCCAACTGACGTTCAGCTTTTCGAAAAGACTCGTGGAGATGGACCCCTCGCTTCGCGGTTAGCGGGGTTCAAAAAATAATTTCCGGCGCTTGTCCGCTCCGAAGTCAAACTGCTTATCGTCGAGATGCGATCCGGGTCTCATTCGCTTGACGACTCCTTAGATTTCGTTTCCTTTTCCTCGAGCGTCGCCCGACACCAGAGACAGCGGTAGATCGGCTCGCGCACTGATGGAAAACTCGAATGTCGACATTCGTCGTTCGATGAGCTCTTGTTGATCTTATCGTGAACGGCGACGGGGCGGAAAGCCGCCGTCCCAGCCGTCACGATGGACAAGAGTTACTTCACGAAATATAGAATGCGAACCTACATTCCCTACCTACGTTCCCTCCGGACGACATCCACTTTATTTATCCCGCGGATTGCGTCGTCTTCCCGGGATTCTGTCGATACGGGTGGAGGATATCTGTACGGTTCTCACTCCGCAAAGAACGACACTGTCGTAGTGAAGAAAGCGCACGTCGGGCCTACTCCGCCGCGCCCAAACGGTTCGCTGAGCCTGGGAATGTGGAACCCGCATTTCGGACAATATTGCAAACAGAGTTTCTGGAGGAAGAGAACCATTTCGAAAAGATGCTGCTGCTTCCCCCGCGACCCGGGCTCACACCTGCTCCGACACCGATGCGAGATGCGACTCGGTTCCGCTTTCACCGATCGTGACCGCAAGTTCAACAAGCCCCGATCTGAAATATTTCCACCGCTCCGACACCATCATGACGGGACCGAATATTTCCCCTTGCTCGCTCGCTGCATCGTAGGAGCCGCGTCTTCGCGAGTGGGGTATTCCCTAACTCAATTGATGCGGTTGGAGGGTCTCGATCTCATCCGAATAGTCAGAAATAATCCGACGGAAATCTCCGGAAAGCTTCCACGACAAAACGTGCAACTGCGTCAATGCAATGCGCGCTGAAGTAATTGCGTCCGAGGTCTTCACGAACTTTCACGGCACGCCTTCTGGATAGGTTTCGTATAGGATAGGTTTTTAGTGTTGAAGCAAAAGCGCTCGTAGCTTGCCTCCGAAAAGTTGGCAGCCCTTGTGATGAAGAGGTTCTGAGTTAGACGAAGTTTTATACTCCTCGCCTCAGAATTTATGCGGCCTTTTCTGCCGAATTCTCGCGTATGGCGTGAGTTTCATGGTGTGTGTTGGTGCGCGGTTCGAATCTTGGGAATAATTTTCAACACTATGATTGTCGTGTTCCGCCTGGTCGTCGTTTTCGCCGTCAAAGCCGTCAGGATTCACATTCTTCTGCTGTGTTCAGCCAGGACTGTATTGATACTGGCATGGAGTAAGTAATATCTGTATGATCGATAAGGAAATTCCAGCTGAGCTCGACGCCGGTAACTCGTTCGAAGATAACGTCGGAATCGTTGAGCATCGGCAGGACGAGCTCGATCAGAGAAAATGCTGACTTGTTGTTGAAGACTCAGCTCAATGAGATCAGTCGCTTCCGGCAGAGAGCAGCCCCCTCCGACCGAGGCGACGTCATGTGGCGGGAAGCATCTCCGTTTCCATGGAGCATATTCAACGCACCTGGGAGGCTTAACTATCCCCGCCTAAGTTAGACGTCGGAATGGGAGCATAGAGACTGCAATCGCCACGAAAGAGCTTGCTCGACGCGATTTACAGAAATCTGCTCTTCTTTTCCGATGCACCCGAGATTCTATCAGCGAGCTGATCTTGGCTGAGTCGCTGAAAGAAAGTATTGAGACTAATTCTACAATAGAGACGCCGGCTTTAAAAACGGCCGGGCTCCCACAGTGGTTGCATTGCTGCCTTCTCGATCGTAGGCATTGAAAACCCATCAAGAACCCTCAGCCCGGCGAGGGTGTTGCTGGCGACCGAAATTTCTCAAAGCGATCGTCCGCTGCTCGGCTCCATGTGGGGTGGGCACAGTGTATCGGCCGCGCAACTTTTTTCCATCTTGGCTCATGAATGAATACTCTACTCTCGTGATGGCACGGACGAATGGGCTGCTTGCAATCAGAGCAAAGAAGGGCAGACCGTTTGACCTGTTTAGGGCACGAGTGATCAATTAGACGAAAAATGATCACGGCGGACGCTGAATCCTACCCATGACAGGAAAAGTCTCCTCACACAGACAGTCCATTGAGGACAATTCAGACAGAGCATCGGGGACATGGTCTTGTCCGCACCTTGGGGCATAGATGAGCGCACACGGAGAAGCTCGAAAAAAAATCAAAAGTCCTGCACCATATAATCCGGAGATCTGGGTATCCCACCAGGAAGATCGAAAATCGGAAGAATCGTAATCGAGATTTTTCTCATATCGGAAAGCGAATGAATGTAACTCGTTCCTCTCTAATTACAGAGATGTCGACAGTGGCGCCAAGTGCAGTGCAGCAGGAAGCTTCGGGGGGAACGGTGGACACCACCAGGGACAGCGGTTCAGCGAGCCCAGCGGAGGGTCGGGAAAGTTCAGCGCCTACAACGGAAGGAGGCGATCGCCAAAGTGGGTCCTCCAGCCCAGCGCCGTCCACGAGTCCATCCCCGTCGAAGGACAAGACACCGATGTGTCTCGTGAACGAGCTTGCTCGCTTCAACAATGTGCAGCATCAGTATCGCCTTGTTGAGGAGCAGGGGCCGCCCCATAAGAAGACCTTCACCGTCATCCTCAAGCTCGGCCTGTCCGAAGAATACACTGCGAGTGGGAGCAGCATCAAACGAGCTCGACACGCCGCCGCCGAGATGGCATTACAAAAAACCGCACTCAAGCATCCAACGCCAAAAACCAATGGAAAGGTGTGTCTCTACTTTCCCGACGGGTCAAGAGAACACTCACGCAATGCTAAGAAGGAATGCTGTGACCATTCTCGTGACGCTCGAGTCACGACATTCCCGCATACGCATGTGTTGCTGCTGGAGAATCACCGATAGCGGAGACCTTGGCTCGGACTCGGTCGCACGATTTCGGGGCTATCTTGATGCTATTCCGGAGCTCCGAATCCGATCGCCGGTTCGAGCTTCCGGCCAGGAAGTCACGAAACACTCTAAGGGGGCTATCGAGAATCGGCTCTCCCTCATACTCACAAGACTCTTTAAAGATCTCCCGCGACCGCTGCCCTCTTCGGAGGCGGCTCGCTCGTTCTCCATGCTAGCATTTTTGTGAAAAAAAATTATTCATTCATATCCTCAAGCGTGTATATAAATTACTTCTTCGCGACGGGACTTGTCTAATGAATGTTCGAACTTTCCCAGGGCTCCAGCGGACCACTCACACCCACCGTCGAGCTCAATGCTCTAGCCATGAAACGTGGAGAGCCGGCCGTATATCGTGTGGTCGAAATTCCACGTATTCCGTCAGCCTACCTCCCGCCATTGAACTATCGCGGGAGTTTGGCTTATGCCCGCTATCAACCACATTACCCACCCCGTTTACCACCCTCCTACCGCGCCATTCTCGACGTAGGCGAGAGGAAGTTCATCGGGGAAGGTAGGTACCAAAGCTGGGACACTCAGCGCCCACCGTGTACCCGAAGCCAACGGATGCATCGCTTGGCTCGTTTTACGACACGGTAATACGTTCTTTCTTTTTTGCAAATCCCCAACAGGTAACACTGAACAGGCTGCCCGTCATTCTGCTGCGGAAGTTGCCTTGGCGTTCTTGCGGAGCTTGCCGCTCCCGGAAACGACGAGGAAATCCGTGGCAGTGAGCGAGGACGAGGATGACGATGGGAAAAGTGCCATAAGCGTGGTCTACGAGATCGCGCTCAAAAGAAACCTGCAGGTGGAATTCGAGGTGGTCAACGAATGCGGTCCGCCGCACATGCGGAAGTACACCACACGATGCACTGTGGGCGATGTATCCACCGAGGGAACCGGAAACGGGAAAAAGATCAGCAAGAAAGAGGCTGCCGAGAAAATGGTCATCGAGCTCAAGAACAGCACAGGAACAACTGTCAACATGATGAATGCGACCGCCACGAATAACTCCGCTGCCACGGCAAACGTCATCAAAGAAGCCAGTCCCGAACAGAAAAAGACCACCACCCCGAGAAAGAAGAGTAAAAATCTGATCAAAGAGCAGAAACCGGACGGTACTTTCTATGGGCAGGGCATCAATCCCATTTCCAGACTCATCCAAATCCAACAGGTTCGTGTTAGAGGTGCTACATATGTACGTCTCGTTTGTCGAAAGCGGGACAGCCCGCGAGACATTCGGCAGGCTAGAGCGGAATTCGTATCTCAGCGAGTCCGGAATTCCGATTGTTTGTCTTTTGTCGAAGGCGAAGAAAGAAAAGGAACCCGCGTACACGGTGCTCTCGGAGAAAGGCGAACCGCGCTCGCGGGAATTCGTCATACAATGCAGTCTCGACGGAGGAGCCATTCTCACTCAAGGAACCGGTCCGAACAAGAAGACTGCAAAGCGAAAGGCGGCCGAGGCCATGCTGCAACAGCTCGGATACTCGAAGCCACAGGCGCAAGAGGCGGGACTGAATCGGGATGAAACAGGTTCGCCGGGGTAGTTTGTTGAAGTCTCAGATACGAGAGCGATCGATTTCCCCCTCTTCGCACAGATTTGGGCCTGAGCAGATAGTAACGGAATCCTCCAATTTTTAAAGAAAATGTCGATCCTACCAACCTGAACCGTCACGAGGCGAAATCCAACAATTCGAAGTCTGGGCAAAAGACTCTTGCGGATAAGCAGGTCGCCATAGCGAAGGAACTGTTGGACAATGGGGTATCCGTCACCGCCATGGAAATGGGCTCCCCAGAACGACAGACCTCGGCCATGGCTCCCGAAACAGGGTCCCTCATCAAACCTAGGGACCAGCTGAACTATCTCGCCAAAGTACTGGGAATTCGCGTGTCCTTCATGAATTTTCCGAAGGGCAACGAGTTTCTGTCTCTGGTTGCGCTCACCTCGAACCCTCCACAGGTGAGAACGGGGCCTGATTAGACCTGAGCAGAAAATTCCACAGAAAACTCTGGGAGGGGAATGTCATCTCAGCGTGACATCTCTAAATATGTTTCTGCTATCATTCTAGCAATGTCATGGATCCGGACGCACGGTCGAAGAAGCCCAGGACAATGCAGCTCATTCGATTCTCATAACGTTGGCTCAGCTTGGAATTGATTCGATTCAGAGCAGTAACAATAACAACTCTAGCACCAATAGCCGAGCGACTACAGCGAACTCGGCTGCCTGAGCTCTACCTCTGAACCGTTGTAGGTCGGGGGCTAGAAAGTCACCGGTGAGTCACTGAAGACGAATTGACTGCCGATGAGAGGAGCTTGCGCGAACCAGGCACTGACTCAAACGGATCATCGATGTATCATACATAAGTCCTCGACCCGAGTCTATCGGCTGGATATCACAGTTCTCCAAGATCCCATTTTGTTCAAGTCAGATTCGTGCTGATTCTATGCTCAACATCTGATTCCAGGCACTCAGAGTCGGAGCCGAGATTGACTCTAGGGACATGCGGGTCGATGATCGTAGCGACAGCTGTAGCCAACGAGCAGAATCTCGAGGGCATATGAGCCTAAAAGCTGCAACCGCCCCGAATCGCAACCCCTCTCTCTCTCTCAGAAAGGCTTGCAAACACTATATTTACAGTATTACAACGATGAGTGCGTCAGTTCCTGATATTGAAGCACGTTTCTCGCTCCCGCCACAGAGAACGAACTTAATCGCTGGCCGACACGCTTTTCGGGGCGCGGTTGATCAACTGTTATACAACAATGTTTTGTTAGTTAAGTGTCGAACCTATTGAAGGGTTGACAATTCAAACTCTCAGAGAACCACAAACCTTGAGGTTGTGCCTAGGTATTCCCCTCATTCTTACATATTTATAATCGACGACGATTACAGAAAGGACAAATAATTAAACTTATAGACAGACAGACAGACAGACGAGAAAACTCAGAAAAAAACGAACAAACGAACGAACTCCATTAGCCGCAGAGTTGATCAATGTGGGTTCAATTCAGAGCAGTTCAACACCCCGAAGCTTTTTTTCTAGTCAACCTCTTCACATCACATGCAGTTCGAAATGAGAGAGCTGCGCATGAAAACATTTCAGGCGGGCGAGCCGGACTGCTCTGAAGAGAGTCGACGTCTCTGAATCGGCAGCGATCTCCGCGAGAGGGTTCTTTCGGAGCTCCAATGATTCCCCAGCGAATAGTTGAGGGATGGACGAGGAAACTGACGGCGACAGTGGTAGAAAGGAAAGGGAGGGAGGTAGAGAGAAACATACGATTGTCATGTGAAATGAAACCGTGATAGTAGCTGCTAGTTACAAACTGTAAGAGTGGCTCGATGATTGTCCAGACGTCGGCGTCGATGCCTTGCGACGGCGTCGCTCATCTCGAGCACCCTCCGCCTTGTGCTCCGGTTGTGCGTAGCTTAGGTAGATGGTGGAGTCGCCGAGCAGTTTCGCATTGATCCTCCGCGGAGATTGCGCCCCGGGCTACACGAGCTATGCGAGCCTCGTGATTCAGAGTACTGCGGCGTTTGTAGCAGTCTCTGCAGGAGCAAGGTCGAACTCGAATAGGTTCGAGTAGGTAGACAGTTACTGTATCGACGACGTGACATATTATCATAATCGATAGTAGGTCTGAGGTCGTAATACTGATCGGTCCAGAGGGAATAGCGGAACATAGCTTCGTCGGATTCAGAATCGTAATCCAAAGGGATGGTTGTGCGGCGCGGATCCCGCATTCACGGCGCTGCCACGTAGTCAAATCTTCGGCGAACGACATCAATTGACTTGAGAAATAATCGATACCCATAACTTCCTAATGGACTACGATTCGAGCAAACTATTGTAACTGTCTACGTATTTGACGCTATCGATGATAGATTACGAGGGTAATCCTTTAGACGTTCGTGAGCCACGGTGCGGTAGACGCGCCCAGCCAGAAGTTACGATAGACTCACGCGCAAGTTCTGGTTGTGAATGTCTCAGCTTGCAGTGACTTAATACCTCAGTGGAGGAAAACCTGGGGAAGAGAATATTAGAGAGGCACCGCGTCAACAGGGACGTTACCTGCTCACTGGTCGTAGGTCGTAGAGTGAAGGCGAACTCTGTTCTCGACGATTAGATCTGAAGTTCTGTGTCGCTAGATCCGCTGGGAGAAAAGCCTAATGAACATCAATGAAGAATCGACACTCCTAGCGGTTTTGAGTGAACCCTTAGCGGCACCGAGAATCCCCTCTTCGCCTGACGGGACCCCTTTTTGATTCAGCGGCCGATAGGCATCCGATTCCAGGCAGTCACTTATCAAGCTCTCGGAGGAGTGATCACCAAAAAAGAGATGCAGTGACTGGTAGTCAGGGAAGCATTTAGTCGGGAAGCATTTAAGCACCCAATTCATTCTCCGTTATCACCCAAAAGACTGATCCCATCGGGTTTCGTGCCCCTCGCGAGCTCAGTGGTCATGTACGGAGGCGGTTGCTTTAGAGCGCTTAGCGCGCGAAGCATATACGAGCGCGCTTCCTTCATCTTCGGGGACTTTCGAGTCGTTGGGCTTGATTCCCGAAGCCGGCCGATATTCCCCTTCGGGGAATAAGATTCCTCAATTCTGAAGTGAGGCTCCGGTGCAAGTCGGGATCTGAGAGGATGCAATAGCCAGCGCTGGTTCACTCTCCCGTCGCTTCTGTGGCAGCAGAAAGGGAAAATTATCATTCCCAACAGCGTCGGCGGGCGTCTCCCTGGAGTGCTTGAGTTTCCACGGCGCACTTCTTCCTCAATGTGGTGTGTTCGGGTTCTTATCAATCCTGCGCTTCTTTTCGACCCCGCTCAGGGAAAACTGCGATCGAGGAGTCTCCAGCCATACCTTCTCATTAGTTTGATGCTCATGCAGAAAGCATTGGCGAAAACAAGCGACAGAAGAGCAATAGACCGAGCTCGTGGTTTCCATGCGGACACTTCAGGCGGCTCCTCAATGAGATTCCGGACCACCAATTGCCCAGCGAGCAATGTTGCCGAGAAACCACAGCCTCTCTGAATGCATTGATCCTGAACTGGAAAGATCCAGGAGAGACCTTAAAGCCCCTCGGGTGTATCCGTTCCATGTCTCACGGGGGGGCTTATTTGCAACCGTTCTCGAATGGGCTCCCTCTAAACGTTCTGAAAAATTGGAGTGGTGAAATCCGTCTACGAAGCTCCCTTTCGCACGGTATTCCGCTCGTTTTACTTGCGTTTAGTCCAATGATCGGGAATTGCGAGGGGTCCCTGGTGCTACTCCACTGAGAAACTAGATATGATCGCGGAAAACTTTTAATGAGATTTTCGCTCCCACATGTCGAGCTCGCCTCTGTGCCATCGTATTGTCACCAAGCTTGTCGACCCCTTATAATATCCGACTTTCGAGTCCATGGTTCTTGGTTTTTTGAAGAGAAAATTGGTCTGAACATCGAATTTAATGTTGCGGTGGAGCTTGAACTCCTGAATTCCTCCCTCTTTCTCCGAATTCTATCATTACTTGATTGAGCGCTGTGACTCAAATCAAAAGTCTGAGAGTACATCGATCAAGACTGGAATCTGTCGCGTTGAAGGTCAAGCGGCCAATTATTTCGACGGGAATGATATCAGACGATCTTGAGACCTGGTTGGAACTGAGTTGCGACTCTTTCGTCTAAGATAGACCCGATTCTGGGGCTCCTACAGACTAGTAATGGAAACGTATCAAGAGACGTTCGGTGTATTCTGTGCATCCTCCATAATCCTATCGTTCAGAGAGATTTGGAACTCACAAACATGAAACTCTGATCAATCGGAGGACTATCGGTGGATTCTTTTCGATGCGGCTCCTACTGTATCCCGCAACAATTTCACCTAATCATTATACCAATCCTTCAGGAAACAGGAATCGAGGACGCAGAACAAAAATGACGACTTTTCTTCATTGATCAATATGGAAATGAAACAAAATAAATGCGATACAAATTGAGGTGAGGCGTATCGGGTCGCGGTTGTGATTTCTTGACATGACCCATCGTCTCCTCTCTGAGTTATGTTACATAGTGAAACTTCGATGTGTTTTCACTTCATTCTCTAGATAGGTCTTTGATCGCAGCTGGATAGCTGAATAGCGGCTGGGCTTCGTCACGGATTACCCGTGATGATCTCTTCGAGGCATGAATCGAATAGGGATAGTTATAATTTCCATGCTCCAAGCGCCGGATGGAGATCAGGTCCCAGTCGGCAGGTGTCATGAATGCTGCTCGGCCTGTGTGGGTTTCACTCTCACAGGGCGAGCCTCACGCTTGCACTCTGCGGAAAAGAGTGCGGAGCTCTTGCGCGTTGAGTACTGCGAGGCATTCGGACTCCTGATGAATCATCGCCCTCCCTATACGGAAACGTCAGGGAATGTCTTCTCCCCACGAGGGAAGTCGCACCGGATTCTTGTGTACGGGAGTCGCTACTCACCATGATTCGCAACTCTTCCCCGACGTACCTGGTGATTCCCCATTCTAGCACTTGCTTGGTCAGCCCCCTCGGTGAATCCGTCTCTGCCTGCGAAATTGCGTTGGATTGATCTTGGCGCGTAATGCCCGCTCGCGTTCCACGTGTCCATCCAGGGAGCCATCGTCATCGTCTGGCACCGGTCGCCTGGCAATCGCTACCCCGAGACGTCTGTGTCTTTCGTTCTGCGAGAGTCCTCCCTTTTCACTCAGAGATCTGCTCCTGGAAAGGCGAGCCCGAGTCTGGAGCCTGAGAGTATTAGCTCTCGCTTTCCGCAGTTCAAAGGAAAGAAACTCCGAAGGACGACTCCAGCAGTGCAGCTCGCAGCTGCTTAATAAATTCTAATCAGAGGCCGGATGATCAAACGTTCATCGAGAGAAGATTGCGAATGCTATCGTCCCTCGCGCAAACTCTCGAAGTCGCAACTCTGACCACCTTATCTCCGAAGGCATTGCAGGTGTCCGACTGGCAAATCCATTCATGACGCATTTTGATTTTCTCTGTTTCAATATCGAATCCAGTCGGTGAAGAGCGAGTATTCGCCTCCCTGGCCCTCGACCGTGCTCGTTGTACTTATTCAAAACCAACATGGGTGTCTATCCTTAGCCGCTCTAATCCCATCGGAATGGGGTGCGCCGACCGAAAGATGGCTCGGGTAGCTATCAAAACCGTGAGCGAATCTGTGTAAATCCTTTGATCAATAATAGCTACGCCAGGCATTGCTGAGAGCTTACGAGCGTAGTCAAGCCACGGGGACATCGTTGAGAATTCCAGTTCACATCGAGTGACACAATACGCATTCTCATGTCCTCAAGTTCAAGAGCAGATCATCAGAACAGTTCGAGGTCAACTAGCGCTGGAGCGAAATACTTCTGTCGTGAGACCATGTAATAGTTCATGTCCGGCTTGACGGAAAAATCCTGGCGGGAATCTGGCGGATGCAAGATTCCCGTATTCAGTGACACCTCCCCATATCGGACATCAAGTGACGGTGAAAAATGTTTTGCTATCACCGTGGGTCCTTGCTTTCTGAGCCGTTACCGGGAGGTCCTGCTGCACGTAGTTGGCGAGGGATAGTGAGATCAATAGATTTCCAAGCGGTTCAAATGCCTGCTCCATGCTCACCTCTGCCTCAACATGTTTGAAACACAAGAGATAACACCCGGGATAGCACACTATTTCTGTACGGTTACCGACGGCAGTAGCGGCCTCAGACGAAAACGTCGATGCGAAAGCTCTGTTGATCTCAAGGCGCTCACGGAGCTCAGTCTGACCCTTGGCAGTCTCTTTGACTCAGCTCTCAGCTCCTAAGTCCAAGTCCTCGAGTCGGGGTGGCCTTCTTCGAGGGTTGGGGCTCATCTCGGTGTCAGCGAGGCTTCAATGGCTTACGAAGAGCTACGGCCCGTCTTAATTCATTTTTGGATGAGACACCTGCTCCGAATTCGTGGTAGATAGGGGAAGTTCACAATAATTTACAATTAGAGGAGTGAACACGGAATTTCCACATTGGGACTCCCAGTTCACAACATGGGACGCTCGTCAGTGAATTTGGGGGACCACTTTGTGAACACTTACGAGACACAATGAAGAAACCGATGACAAACGCCTTTCCCATATCGGTTCCCGTTCCGTCCATTTCCCATTTCCTTTTTTAGTGTCACAGATGCCGGATCTCGAGCTTGCATCCTTGCGTCCGAGGAGGATATTCATCGGGACGATGATTCGTTAATTGTGTCGATAGCCAGAGGAACCTCGCTATTCGTGCCTCGTGACTCCGGTCATTCCACAAGGCAGATGACGTTGCCGGCTGAATCCCAGGAGAAACACTGGTTTCTTCCATGTTCATCTCCATTGTGGGGAACCCCACCTTGTTCCCGCAAATCTGTTCAAAACGACTTGGTCGAGCGCATGCTGACTTCTGATTTCGTTCATTTGGAGGAAACCAAATTTTGGATTCGGCCGTATGAACACGGCCTTCCGGATGGTTCTCGGTGGATTCTAATGCGTGACATCAGCCTTGCACCGGTGGAGAACCAGACCATTGTTGGATCGACGCGAGGATTTCCCATGATGATTGTCTCTCAAGAAAAGCAGCCTGGTGCTCCCATGGAGGTGTTGACTATTCTCGACTGCTCGGTTTGTCCGCTCTTGTGGCTTATCTACGGCGCGGCTAAGAAGGATCAATTGTTCGAGAAACTCGTTTCTCCTAACAAAAGGATTCAGCATGAGCGATCCGGAAAAAGCCGATCGCGGAGTATTCGCGAAGGCGACGGATGAAAACGATAGTGATGCAGGAAATCGACACCTTTCAATGAGAGCGGGGAGTGCACGCCGACTTCAAAGGGCTCAACGCGGGAACGTGGTATTTCCTCACGATAGTCGAACGAGGGGATGCTCGAATCACGGACCGGACCGCTTCCGTATAGCCATCAGTCGGCGGGATGGTCGGACATACAAGTATACAGAGCAGATCCGCTCAGCAAGACTCCGTTATCTCTGTATGCTCGAGAACACTCTTTATCGAGCGAGTGATTCGTGCGCGGAGAAAGTCAACACTTTCGAAGGTCGCGCAGGCGGGCCTAGCCAGAGTTCTTTAATCCGATGGGAGTTATCTTGCCTGGCTCACCGGAGCTTATACGGCGGAGTCATTCCAAAGATTCCCACCAAAGTCCTGCGGGCGGCAACTGAGAAGGTTTGTGACCACGTTCTCATGCTTCGTCGCTCAGTGGCATATGGTACATTTCGGAATGCGATTTCTGGTGCTGTTGGTGGTTGCTGTTTTCTGTCGCGTGGAGACCAAGCCAATCGACCCGGGTGAGTTAGGCATATGTTCCGAACCTGATAGCTATCCCGAATGCACAGGGTCTCCCCGATTTGAGCCTTGTGGTGCGCGATCGCGTAAGACCCTATCGCTGCAGAACACCGCGAAGGGGGGGGGCATCCTTGTGTCGGTAAGTTATCAGCTCATGTGGATTTTCTTCGCAGAATGCCAGAAGCAACTGGACTGCAAGGATCTCGTGTGTCATCTACAGAAGAGATGCATAGAAGAGAAGGATCGGGAACACATCATTGAGATAAGCGCCACAAACTTGGTGAGCCCCTCGGCGTTAGCACTCGCAGTTGATTCGAGGCCTGCGGGAGACATTTTGGGGACCGGATCCCTCCCGGAAAGTGAAAGACCGACAACCATCATCTACGATCAAGCCGTATTTCATTTTTGTTTTGGCGATGTCTGGGGGGAATCCGGAAGTGAGACCTCTTGAATGAGAGGCCGGAGACGGTCTCATAGGATTCGAAGCGCTGGTCACAGTCTGCTGAAGGAGCCGTGAAATGAGTTGACGTCGAGCATTCCGAGCTGCCTCAAACGAGTCGATACTCGGAATCTCGATCCTCCCGCCGCGATCTCTGACCTCGGCCTGTCAGCTATTATGACCATTAGGCCGGCCGGGTCGATTCCAAGCCAGAGTATATCATCCCCTGTGTCCTACTTTGAGATCCGGCGGGAGGTTCAACCCCTGTCATCCGGGTCCGCGTACGCGCAGGCTCCGATCAGCCGGCCGATTTCGGCGGGAATTATTCGTTCCCGGCTCAAATCAGCCAACCTCGCTTCGATAATAGGCGTCACGGTCAGAAACTTGGATCATGCCGGAGTGACTAAATTGCGCGCTCGCGGGGGTGGAGCAGGGGACTTCAACCATCGATTCTCCAGAGGCAATGGTTCCCAAAGTGGGCTCTTCCAAAACCAACCGTTTCGTCGACAATTTTTCTGGGATCCGCGCTCGGCTTTTCGTGGAACCCCGGGGCTCCATCGATTGCTGGGTCCCGCGCTCGAATTCCCGTGGCCTTCGATGTTGGTTCCAATTATTCAATTCAGGACTTCACATTCAATCTCCTTTCCTTCAACAACCTTCCATCATCTTTCCCCCACAATGATGTTAACATAGGCCCGTGTGTTATGAGTTCGATTTCCGTACAGCGGGACGAAGTTCTCGAGAGGGTTCTGCGAGAAAGAAAGCGAACCACTGCCCTCAGGGATGCCTCCCTGGTGAATGTATCCTTCTCAGACGATACCTGAGTCTTATACTCAGATCAGTTTGATCTCGGCTTCCGTTCCCCTGTCTAAAAGTGGAAACGTCTACGTCTGCTTTCACGTCCTCATGGTCTAGATCTCCTCCTGGTCGCCCGCGGTGGGGTCGCTCTGTCGCAGACAACTGCTTCCAAATCTCAATACTCAGGTTCTCGGGCATAGCCTGTCTCGCGCAGGGTCGATCTCACCCTTTTGGACTACAGTGTATTTCGTTTTTCCTCGCACACCCTTCGACCTCGGTCCCTTTCGACCAAGATCGGTAGGAGCAAAATCGCACTGACCTCAGTCTTGAGCCTTGAACGCTATCCCGAGTCTGCAAGACACCGTAGTCAGTCGGAGTCATACCGATGACAGAGTGACGATGAAAGAGAAGTGCTGTCGCTCCGTGTGAGGAGTCGAAATCAAACTACTTTAGTGATGCCAACAGTTCGAAGCTATTTGCATCAATGTCTTCCACCTAGACAGTGTCCGGAAGGGAGAGAAACGTGCTCGGTTATATCCATGTATAGTAAGGAGGATCCGTATCAGCTACTTCGACCGGAGGCTGACACGGCTTTGTTGCGCTGTCGCGAGTTCTTCCTTTCATTACTGATTCTGCGACTGAATTTGCAGGAGGCGGCACGACTGAGTCGTTTTCAGAAACTTCTCGCGACCCTGTCTAAAGATTTCATAACACGCCAAAATAATGCTAAAACCACCACCGAAGGAGGAACAACGAACGTGGTAGAAGCTTCGACCGAAGGACAGAGTACGACCGAGATAGACCTCTCGACGGAAGAAGGAACAACGGACGAAGGAGATACCTCGCCCGCGGCGGAGTCCACAACCCGGGCGGGAAGCTCTACCGAACCGGGAAGTACAGCTGAAGCAGGAGGCAAGACGGCCGTATCTTCCGCGGCGACTGCGGAAGAATCCCTCCGACGGAGACAGAGAAACCTCCCGCGACGACCGCGACGGAATCCTCCTCCACGGACACAGAGGAACCCTCCGCGGCAACTGCGGGGGAATACTCCTCAACTGACGCAGAGGAACCCTCCGCGGCAACTACGGGGGAGTCCTTCTCAACTGACGCAGAGGAACCTCCCGCGACGACCCCGGAAGAATCCTCCCCCACGGACACAGAGGAACCCTCCGCGGCAACTACGGGGGAATCCTTCTCAACTGACGCAGAGGAACCTCCCGCGACGACCCCGGAAGAATCCTCCCCCACGGACACAGAGGAACCCTCCGCGGCAATTGCGGGAGAATCCTCCGGAACGCATGCTCAAGAATCATCTGAGACATCCGGGGAGAGCTCCTCCGCGACGAATGACTCCTACATAATGAATTCAAGAACAACCGGAAAGGATCCAGACGAGGAGCATGGAGAAGCGAAGGAAGAGGCGGAAGGTGATGAGGTCGAAGAGGGCTTTGACTTCAAGAACGGAGGAGATAAGAATGACAGGGAGCCGAGCGAGGGGAGGCAGTCTCAGAGTGACAGCTTCAGAATAGCGAAATATCATCGAATGGATGGAACAGACGCAGGATCGCCAATACGGATATTCTTCGTTGAAGCTCCTAATGCAGGTGGGTTCTACCAGGTTAATATTTTGCTCCACTCGTTCGAGCTTATTGAAGCTCTCACTCATCCAGTCACAGAGAGCTCCCTTTATTTGACGGAAAAATATTTAAGGTTTTCTTCTTCAATTTCTACATCGATTGCGCTGGAGGGATCGGGAGCGATCGTTTTTTCTAGGATGTTGCTTTCTGCTGTTCGTCCTCATGAAGGCATGCTCCTTCGCGGAAGCTCAAAAAAAGCAGCGAATGTAGGCATTCCATCTGATAAGAGAGAGAAGAGCCGCGGCGCCCGTACCGTGGATTGCGAGAAGTTGTGCATCCGATTCGGTACTCGATGTTTTCTCGAGCGGTCTACCCACTCCGGCGATAGTCTCCTTACGTGCCTCATGATCAGTCCAGACTCTCAACCCTTTTCTGAAAAAAAATCGACATGCTCGCCCACACGAGGAAGAAGCCTAGAGACTGGAGAATGCACGGATCGATGGTGGACAAATACAATATCCTCGCTGTGACCTCCTCGGTGTGCTTGCCGATATACATATTTCGGGAGATAATGACGGCTATTATAGCCTTGACGTGAATCTCCTGAGTCTGAACCCTCGAGCGATAAGCATGTGGTTTGCCCGTCGTGCGCCCGTGCTCCCGTCGGAGTGCTCCCGAACAGCGGGATCAGAGCCTTGCTATGCTTGATTGAGCGAGGTTTTGAGTGAGTCAGCCATCTACATGCTGCATCGCTTGCCTCCCAGATCCTCCCGCATGGCCCAATGAGAGTCTTTGATCGAACGGGAATCTGATGTGATCGATCTTTCCGCTGAGTCCACACGGAAGTTCCTGAAGAGCCTGGGCATGGACTTCCTCCGAGATACACGGAGGAGGGGGCGCGATCCCTCGGTCTGCCGCGAGAAGATGAACCCATCCTCTCTATTAAAATCGCGTTTTTCCAGCGGACACGAGAAGACCGATATCGCTCGGGAGGATCGAAATCATAGCATACCAAGGGAGAAGCCGTGAGTGTTTGTGTGATCGAAAATATACCTTCAACACAAAATGTTCGCGAGAGTTAAAAAAAGACGGTTACTGATCGAGAGACCGTCCTTCCAGCGGTGACTTACGACGTACCGCAATTAGATGAGCTAACCCAGGAGCTCCGGAAGGTGAGACGTCCGTCGAGTGCGGTCGGAATATCATACCTTCTGGCAGCGAATTCTGATGATGACGCTGGGAATTTCAGGGTATCGTCAATGAGTTCCGAGATGTTTCGATCGATGTCAGGAGTGCATCAGTGAGGGAAGGAGAAAATCGTCGACGAACGGTCAGGATTTTATTTGTCGTCGGAATTTCTGTTGCTCTGGTGATTCTCAGCCTCATCAGTGTGCTGACTGTGAGGAGATACCGGCGGCGTCACGCCTTTGCGTACATGGTAGGTAAACTAAGCTTCCCGACAATAGATATTGATCAATTCGAGCAACAATCTACTCCGGCTAGTAGTCAAGAATTCACGTCGGACTTCTCTCTAGGGCGCCAACCTGGAAGCGCACGAAATGTTCTCCTCGGCAGAGATCCTGGAATCGGAGAATCCCGGAATGCGGAGGTTGTATCGATAAATTTGGGGACGATGCTGATCGTGTTAGTCTCGTGGTTCCGTTCTACTCGTCGAGTCGGCGATAAGCTCATCCATGTCTCCCTCATCATGTTGACCAATTCGTCACGTTTGTCAGCCATCAACGAGAAAATTCTCTCCGGTCGCGTTCAGCGCCTGCAAGTCTAACCGTTTTAGATTCTAACGTTTTTGAATAATCCTCAGGAAAGCTTGGAGTCTCAAACGACAAGCTAATGATATCAGCAGCGCACCACACACCCCTGGTACATTCAGGATGAAAGAGGATGTCCGGATGTGATAATGCATTTTTAAAGAAGCGGTTCTCGCTCTTTTCACGGCCGCTCATTTGGCTACGAAGGGTTGACTTTTAGATTACTTGGAGCTCGACGGCGTGTCCTTGGAATCTGTGCATATTTATACGAAAAATCCGGAGATGATGAAGGAGTGACCCCTGAAGCCCTCTCAGTACGGGTTGAGTCATTCAAAAGACGAGAATAAATAAAATGCTTCGGAAGCGAGTTCCACTCCAGCTCTTGCTATTCGTCGAGATAAATATATCAGCGGCAGCTCCCGAATTCGCGAGACAGAAACTTTGCCCTTACCTCTTCTCCGGGTCAACGGTCCTGCATCCTCTCGTGACCCTGATCTTCCGTCCTGAGGGCAGACGTTGATAGAGCGGAGATTGCTCAGCCCGGAGGGCTCATTGTAAGACTCACGAGGGGGATTCGTGAAGTAATGTGCTATTATAGCCGAGGGCGGGCATTCTTGCCTCTTCGAGAGTCTACCCGGATACCTGAGATTTCCCATTCTGTCTCTGAGTCCTAACGCAGACCGAATCGAATTCCCTACCGATGAATACTATGGCTGGCGCTCTTGCTCGCAGAGCTTGCAAGATTTGTCGTAAGGGTTTTCAAAAAGTTTCGGATGACTTCAATAGTGTTCGTTTGGGAGTGCCCCGCTTTCTCCCTACTACCCCGTCGCGGTCGGCGTCGCTACAAGAATAGTGTGCCAAGGAAAAGTTCCCCGGATGCCGTCAAGCGATGCCCTCGCAGAAATCCTCGAATATCTCGGCCGTGAATTGGGTACCATTACCCACTCCTCCGGTAACCCGTATCGAAGCATAAGACTTTCGAACGCTTCTACAGAATTATCCACAGTGATTTCCTTCATTCGTATAATTTCCGGCCAATCCGAGAATGCGTCTAAGTCGATACGGTAGCTAATATATGTATCTGTCCTCGGACCAGTGGAGTCTGCATGACTTCGGATCCGAGGGCCGGCTAGTCGCTCTCATGGGGATAGAGGTATTTCGATCGGATTCTCATTGACCGGTCACCGATCGTTGCATTTTCTCCCTCAGTCTTGGACGGGCTCTCCGATATCAGGCAAGGATACATGGGATCTAGCGGGAGCATTTCTCCTGCCCTCACTCGGGTGGCCTCCATGAGCGGGCTCAGGAGTCGTTCTTGCAACTCGTCTACAGCTTTGTGCCTGCATATCTCCTGTGATGCTGAGCTCCGGACCTCCGAGTACATCATGGATAGGGGATCCTCGCGGGAAACTGCGAGCAAAACGTCATCATTGTAGAATTCGCTCACCCAAGACAGTGTTGGCCAGAGGAGTGTTGCTGATCGGATTTGTTGCCCCGACACAGGCAGCTTGCTCATAGTTTCGTTGCCAACGTTTTCGCCGTTGAGCAATCATGAATCATGTCTGACTTTGCTCCTGAAAATCATGGCCACGCCCACGAAGCCCGAAATAGGGGCTCTGGATATGATCCCTTTCCAATTGAGCGCCCAATCTCGCGGATTACCCATTTGTGTCGGTGGAAGAATACCACTAAAACAAGCTCAGTCAACGATGGAATGAGAATTAACGATGCGTTCCGTGCTCATACCCCTCATGTGATAGATTTCGGTGCGGTGAGATCGAGCCCCGGACGAGGCTCGAACCTCCCGCGATGTGTAAAGTATCTACGCGCTGGACATGTATACTCTCTTCAAGAGCACCCGGGGGTAGCAGGGGCGTATGTAGCGGAAGAGGTTATGGGGGCCATGGCCCCCTGCAAGATGATGCGTTCCTTATGCTATGGGATGGGAGCGAGCCGCCATATCAGATTCCTGCCTAATGCGAAGACCCGATCTTGTCCCCCTCCAAGAAAAACCTCGCCTGCGCTACTTGAGTGTAGACGTAGACGGTGGAACGTTTGGCAACTGCTGTTCCCAGGCGCTGAGTAAGTGCTACTGGGGTTACTCTCGATGGGTCCAAAAAGCCAGTCAGTAGGTGAACATCACGCATCTCGCACAGAAATAATTGATCTGCCCCGCCGATCATGGACTCCGCGATTTCCGTGAAATATCTGGCGTCGAGGAGAGTAGTCCTGAGGGCCACCTTCATACCGTAGCCCTTGCTGTTAATTCGCCTCGAATCTCGAATCTATCCTCCCAGCTTGAAAATCTCCCTCTCCGAAACAACCTCGGCGGAAGAAACGTGAAGTCTCTCAAGTCGGACCCTGAGCGGGTTTCTCGGAGCTCCGAAACGTAGCCGAAAGGAAGGGATGCTTTTCCAATTTAGAGGCGAGAATTCGAGAAGGGCGCGCGGCGGCGGCGCTATAGTTCGAGATTTCGTCGGTTCGCATCCGTTGGTCTGTCCTGTCGATCGAGGACAACGAAGTGAAATCAACCACAGCAGACGGCATCGGCGCCGAGAGCAGTCGCGGCTCGCGGCAAGCGTATCTCTGTCCGTGCTTCGATGTGTGTTTGTCCGTGTTGCGTGCCGTACTCCGTGCCAGGAAGCGTCTTCGTGATCTCTGTTAGCTGAATTACCGAAGTGTGTTGATGACTCGCGTGATGTGTTGATAAGCTCAATCAGTGCTCCATCAGCGGACGTTCATTCATCGTAAGTCTTTGAGCATCAGAAGTACCCCGCCGGTTCCGTCTGCCGAGACTTCGAGCTTATTCGGATTCCCGTCTACTTCGGAGGTTCGGGGTAGTCGGAGTCTCATTCATCTCTCGTAGCCTCTCGCCTCTTCCCTCCAACGCACTCGGATCGTTTAATGACTTCATTTGATCGCTTAGAGTACAGGCAAATCGTGCGAGCATGCGACCCCTTCGAGCTCCCATGATCCCATGATTACTCTGCTGTATCGAGGACTCTAGTCAATTGGTCAATCTTCCGGTTCCGGTTACTCTTCATGAAATTTTCCTGTATGGCCAAATTCTATACTGAGTCGCGGCTCGCGGCAATCCTCTCCAGGCTCGTCGGGGTTCCGGGGAAGAATCGTGATAGACCTCTAGAAAGTTTAATATTCCCATTCGGGTCGTAGTCCTCGCCGAGGCCCAGTCCGGTGTCGCAGAATGACCTCCCTCGTGTCTCCGGTCGATCATCTATCATTTCGAGACGAGAATCTCATCCCCTCCGAGACGGCCATGTCAACGCCCCACAGCAGAGCCGTGACGTCTTGGATTCCGATACGTGGCTAGAACAGGAGCTCGTTCCCCGATCAAGAGCTGGCAACGGCGCGCGGCAGCGGCGCCATAGCCCAAAATGTTTAGAATGCGTCTCTGTGTCGAAGATGACGAAGTCGTGGTGTGATGCGGCCGCGAAAGCAGTCGCGGCAAGCGTCTCGCCGTGTTCTTCCGTGTATTCGGTCGTGCTACGTCGTGTATTCGGTGGTGCTTCGTCACCGAAAATGCCTTGGCACCCTCTGCTTGAATGTGTCTCCGGAATTTCTGCCTTAAAGTGTATTTGTGCTCTCTGACAGGTGGTGTCCTCGGGCTCGCCGAGCGCTCTCATCGGAGTGTCTTCTAGGCTACGTCATAGGCGGGATCAATGCATTACCTGCGGACATACCGACTCTTTGAGGGTAAGTCAGCCCCACTATCGGGAATTCCTGGAACCCCTGATCCGTCTGCTCGGAGTTTGAACTTATCCTGACTCCCGTCTCCGTCGGAGGTTTGGAGTTTTCTCTATCTCCCGCTGCTTCTTCATTCCAACTCTCTCGGATCGGTCCGAAATATCACCTTCGCTAGGAGAATCGTGGGATCCTGAATCCTGAGAGCTCGAGGTGGTCCACAATCCAACGATTCGAAGAGTTCCCAGGATTCCACGACTCGAAGAAGTCCCAGGATCCCACAATTCGAAGAGGTCCCAGGATTGCTCTTCAATATTGGGATAGTAAGAGTAAATCGTTCAATCTATCGACAACCCGTCGGCTCCCATTTCCCGTCCGGCCGTTTCCTCTTCTGGGTCGCGGCTTGCGGCAATCATCTCCAGGCTCGTCGCGGGCGCGCGGAAAAATCGTGGTGGACGTCCAGAAGGACTCAAATTCCTCTATGCGGCGTAGGCTTCGCTCAAGGCTATTCCGGTGTCGCCAGAGTAGAGTGAAGGCCGCTGTCCTCGCCCTCGCCTTCGGTGGATCATCTCAGGATGAGCATCTCTTCCCTCTATGCGGGTACACGCGAGACGGAACTCGTGACTTCTTGGGGCTCGCACGTTTCTGCAGATTCCAATGCATAAGTCGAACGAGGGATTGCTCGGTCGATCGATAGTTGAGACGGCCGCGCGGCGGCAGCGCTGCGGCCTAGCCCCACGTACCGGTTCGAGCTCGTACGTCTGACGAAGATAGAGAATGGAAGGTGTGCTGAGGCAGCGGAAGCGATCGCGGCAAGCGCCTGGCCGTCTTCCGCGGCGTAACCCTGTCCCTCATCGTGGTCGCTGTCAAGCAGAGTCTAAACGACTTCGGAGCGAACTTTCCGAGGTGTGTCTAAGGCTCGCGTGATGAGCGGGATCAGTCCTCCATCTGTTTACGCGGACTCGATGAGCGCGAGTGAACTCGTCCATCGAGGTCTCGTTTAAATTAGTCAGAACTCTGATCGCCGCTCGGATCGTTCTCATGAGCCTTGTGGCCTGTTCTCTCGACTTTTCGCTTTGACTGGCCCGTCGTGCTCCACGAGTTTCGTCTTACCCGTGTGCAGGGTCCCAGTCTGCCGTCCCTCCTGATCGGGGCGATTGAAGTCATCCCGGATCCGGATGCTTCGCGGACTCGAACTTGGTCTCTCGGAGGTCCGAATGTTTCACATCCCGCCCGCATGTCCCGCTTTCCTTCAGTATGCCGATACGTTTTGCGAGTCGGACTCGTCCTCTCTCGCGGATCGCCTCGAAAACGGTGTCGCTCCCTGGAATACGAATAATTCGGGATGTCTCGATTTGAACGATACGAGACTGACTTCGGACTCGCCCATTTAGCGCGATAGATTAGGATGGGCTTAGGGGTAGGAGACGGTGTGGAGGGAGGTCACTGTTTGAGGACGAATGAGATCCCGATCAGACCTCCTTCGTGACATGATTCGAATATATCGTTCCAGTAGCGGAGCAAAAATGAATTTAGAGCGATTTTTGTGCGGTCTCAGTCCTCTGAGCGAGGTTTCGGAAACAGGCATCGGAAGTCCGATTTCGGCTCCTGATACTGATCTGAGATCTCATCATTTCGGAAATGGTTTCATTCTCCCCGTT